ACTTCTTCGGCTTCAATTTGAGCTAAATAATGTTAGAAAATTCCGACGGGAACGCGTTTTATAATTTTCCTAAAATCACCCCTCAAAATTCGACTTCTCAACACTATAAAGTATGCTGAACATTTTAAATAAAATTTTTGTTATGCAAACAGTATCCTATTTTGAAGAGCACTTCTTCGGCTTCAATTTGAGCTAAATAATGTTAAAAAATTCCGACGGGAACGCGTTTTATAATTTTCCTAAAGTCATCCCTCAAAATTCGACTTCTCAACATCCGACGAATCGCACCTATCGACTAAAAAAATGTTCTCTCGTCATTTTCTCGATCCGTAGAAGTTGCGCTAATTTTTCCCAACGAATACAGTCTCGCGGATAGCCCTCCGATTTGTTCCCAGACGAACGAACGTGCCGCAAACCCGTGGACCACTTTCAATAACCGAAATACCGGTGCCCCTCGATCAACGAGGTTCGCAATTTAACCTCCCCTTCCCGGCGATAAGGAACCGCATCTTTGATCGTATTATTATCCAGCCCGTATGGAGAAAGAATCGCGATCTACGCGGCGCGGCGCGGCGGATCGACCCGTTTTAAAACTTAAAGCCCGTCCATTCGCGATGCTCGTGGGAAGGGCGCGGTGGCGCGTAGAATGGCGGAAAAGCTCCGCGGCGAGGATCGCGGGGGTGGGTTAAGGGGGCTACTGTTAATTGAAAACTACCGAAAAGCACAATTGCAGGAGAATTATTTCTATTCATTAGCCGGTTGGTCGAGCCAGCCGCCGAAAAACTTTTCCTCGACCAGGCGTTTTTTCCTCCTCTCTCCCACACCCCCGCGGCCGACGGCTCCTCGTGGCCACCCCCGAGCCGCGCCCCGCTGCCACCCTCGAGCACCCCCTTCTATCCGACGGTCGCGCGTGGCGTAATTATGTAACATAAATACAATCCCTCTCGCGACGTAATTTTTGCGGTATAAGCTCAAAAGCCCGAGCCCCAACCCCGCGCGTCCACGCGAGCTCGAGCCGAGCCAGGGCGGTCTCTCCTCTCTCTCTCTCTCTCTATTTTTCTCTCCTTCTCTCTCCTTCTCTCTCTCTTTCCTCTCAGCTCTCCCCCGGCCACCGGCGGAGAAAGAGAGAGCTTTTTCAGGAACGCTTTCGCAAATCAATTTATGGCGTAACGCGGACGTTCTCATTGTCCGCGGCTAGTAGCCGACGCTCGCCTCGTGGCTAAACCTTTTGTAACACCGGCGGCCATTGTTGTGACAGAAAATTATATCGTAATGCTTATTTATGGAAATTCGGTGCCGGCCTTTGTCGCCCCTTGTCAAGTATTAAATGCAAATGGCCTGGTAATGGCGTTTCTTTCCGAACCGCCTGATTCATTAGCCCGACAAATTTTTGTTCTCCCAAGACGAAGCTGTTGCTCGCACTCTTGATCGGTCGACATCGCTGGAAACAATCGCTGCAAAATCGTGTCGATACAGAGACCCTTAACCCTTCCGAAGGAACTCTTCGGAAACTATTATTCTCAAGATTACTGGTCTGTCGAAGATTTTTGTTGTTAATCTCGTTCGATACGATAACCTTCGATGAGAAGAAAAATTAATACAATGCAACGAGACTTTACTTATTTTATTATTCCTGAGCGGAATGAGCGTTTAGTATCGCATTCCAGCTTGCAAACTTTGAAAAATAAGCGTCTACGAACGGTAAATTCTCTGTAATTGACGCTCAGATTGTGAATGAACAATTTTATGTTAAGAGGAGATACGATTATTTGAGCCTTGCGGCTCGAATGTATATTCTATAATTATTGACAATCGGTGACTATAAAAATGCGAGGCGCGAACAATCGTATCACCTCTTCCAAAATTCTCCACTTTTGTGGACAATAATCAGTGCGTCAATTAGGAAGAATTTACTGAACGCAATTGCGATCGGGTCGACATCGTTCGAGATAACAAGTTCGAGATAACAATTCGCTGGTTCCGGGCGTCGATTTTTTAGCGATCGTGTGGCACCGTCGAAACGAAAGAACCGCGTGGAAGATGCTTCCGGGAATTCCGGCGGGAGTATTTTCGTCAGTCAATGAATTTACAGCCCCTCTTTACCGAGTTCACCCTTAACCGCTTAACGAGAACTGCTTCACGGCACGTGAGAAAAAAAAGCTAACTGGTTCGGCGGTAGGTGGATGGGGGCGGGGGCGTGTAAGCGGTCTTGAGGGGTGAATTAGCGCGAAATAAGTGCAGAAGAGCTTCAACAGCCTAGGGGTGGGGAGGTGGGCCGAACGATAGAACCCGGGCGCAGCTTTTCGTTTCGCGTGTACGTGCACGTACACGCGAGCCGGTCCTGCGTGTGCGAGCCCCCGTAAGAACGTCGTAAGGGGTGGGTTTCGGGGCCGAGGGCCGCCGAACGAGACGATACCTAACCGGGGCTGGCTACGGGAGACCATGCCGCAGAAAGCCGAGCGTGGAAGCGAGACAGCGGAAAACGACGTAACGCGCATAAAGTAAATTGCCGCGAAATCTGCGCGGGCCTCCAGAACGGCGCGGATAAGCGAAACAAATAAAATAAGAGCGAAAGACGAGCCGGGAGGAGATAACGCGGGAAGAGGTGAAAAGGGTACCGAGGGTAATGTGATTTAAGGGCTGTAAGGCACTGCATTTCAAACGGCCGCCGAAGGGACTCGGCCTTTTCGGGAACCTGCCACGCTGCGATTTTCCGGGGACCCTTTAGCCCTTCCATTTTGTACCCAGCAATTGCGGAATCTTCGAAACTCCGAGGCCGGGTGCTAGGTACAGTAATTTATCCTAGAAATTTTAGGTGGTCGGAATTAAAACCGGCAGATCCGTAAATACGCTAAGTCGCGATTTTTTTAGCTTCGCGGCTCGTTTTTTATAAATATTCAGGGCAATCGGTATAAAAAGCCAGCGAATATGTACACAGCCGGATGCGCAGTAATGCTAGGGAAATTCACAGCAACCCGAAATTTGGCATTTCCGGGAGAAATTATTGCACTATCGAATATTCGTTCACTTTACAGCGACGAACCCTCGGATAGCAAAATCAGCATAACAAAAACTTAAAAAAAAATGGATTGCCCGGTAAGAAGAGGAGTCTAAAGATCGAACTCGTATCGGCCGACAATCTCGGTTCCGATTGGACAGCCCGAGTGCCGCGAGTCCGGCAAAACGGCACGCTTTATCGGGCGTAAGCGGGTTTCCCTCGTTCCGTGGAATCCGTGCTCTCCACGGATGCCAGCGAGCGCGTTAATTGCGAGAAACAGGAAGCGCGGGAAACTAGAAAACAGAGAGCGTAACGGCGTGGTTTATATCCACCCGGGCGACGCTCTTTTTTGTCTCGTTTTCTCGAAAGAACACTCGGCGCCAAAGTGGGAGCTAATAACATAAACGAGGAAGCGGGCCGCGTGTTGCTTTCCTTTTTCCCTGCTGTGCGTGCTCTCGACCGTGCGTGTGTCTGCTGCCCGTTCCTTTTTTTATTTCGCGCTCGCAGGAGAGACCGAGACGGAGAGCGAGAATACGAGCGCGCCCGAGAGAGAGAGAGAGAGAGAGAATGTGAGAGAGCGAGGGAGAGAGAGAGCGTTGGCCCAGCCGCCGCGTCGCCGCGCCGCGGCGCGCATAAAGTGGCGAATATGGGGTGTGAAATGCATGTCGGTTTCACGGGGGTTGCCTGGGACGGTAATAGGCGAGGGGCAGAGAGGACGGGGGCCGCAGGGGGGGAAGCACACGCGGAGTCCGGGAGTCGGGTTCTGGAGCGGGCTCGGGTTGCACGAGTCAACTTGGCCGCTCATTGGCTACTTGCCGGCGACCGCCGCTCGCGAAACATTAGTATTCTCTGCTAATTAAAATGTAACTGAAATTGTAATGGTCTGCGTGTGCCGGCGATACGGGAACGACGAAACGCGGCGGTTGCGGGGGTGGGGCCGCCGGCCGCGCCGACGGTGCCGGGGAGCGTTACACCGTGCACACCGGCTAACGGACGATGTGTGCTTTTTCATGCTCGGCTTGTGGACTGAATAGAGGAAAACGTCCGTTCTGGAAAAAGACTGCGTCGCGCCGGGATTGTTCCTATTACTTTTGCCCGGACGTATTATGAATATTGTTGGGACGCGGGGCCGCCGCGCCGCATCGCCGCCGCACGCCACCGCGGAGAATCCGACGACTCTGCTCCGCGCCCGTCGACACATTTCTCAGATTCCAACGAGAGCTCCCTCTGCGTCGTTCGACTAATTCTTCCGGAATTTATCACCCCCTCCCCCTCCTCCCCGATGTACGGGGATGTACGAATTAAATGGAATTCGAGGCATTTATTTATTTTTCTTCGCGCGACGTTTGCGCGAACTTGTCAGACCGCTTTCGTTCGAATCTGTTTGTCGATCGAATGAAGATCGAAGGATTTTTAGCAAGGATTCGATCGCCGATCGGATTGTTATTGCACAAGATCGAGGGTTCGACGGGGACAGCGATTTAACAGCGACCGAGTCGACGAGGGACTTAGACATTGGGACCTAACGGAGTTGAAGATCGAGATGGAGGGGGGTGAAGAGGCATTGGAATAATATTGTATAATACTTGGTAAGTCGTAAAGTTCCCCAGCTTCTTGGCCGAACGGAATTCCGAAAGTTTCGTATCGACGCTCGTACCAACAAATGCGATTATCGATGTCTCGCATCGTTCATCCCCTAAACCGGCGGGGAGTAAAACGCGCTCACGACCCCACGCGTTCGTTCAACCCTCTCGCTCGGTTCCGAACGGTCTCCCCGGGTACTTTGTTTTGGAGCTCGTCCAAAAATAATATCGCGCGGATTAAGCTCGATATAAGATATCGGCGAAAGTACGTGGAAAACCGACGCGGAACAATAAAAACAGAGGGAAAAAGAGAGGGAAACAGAGATAGAGAGGCAGAGAGAGGAAGAGAGAGAGAGAGAGATAAAAGAAATGGAAAAATACAGCGATGCGTCTCGTTCGAGAAATATCGTTCAACTCACATTAACGAGCCATGTCACCCTGTCTCAGAAGCCTGGGAAGAATACACCACTGACCTGCAACAAAAAGAAACCATCGATTTGTAAATGCACAGGTTCGAAGCTTCGGAATTACCGTAGAAAGCTAGGATATAATTTATAGATAATTTCAGCGAAATATAATTCGGCTGAAAAATTAACGCTGGATCCGCTTTTACTTTTAGAGCTCGGCAGACTCGGCGTTAACGACAGCGATTGAAACGAATGCCACGGGAGTTTGAGAATCGATGCTGTTCGCGTGCAGCTTCGCTGAAAAATAATTCGGCGTTAATGTAGCCGGGCTGGATCGAGGCGCGCGCGTTTTCTTAATTAAATCCGCCGGCTCCTAAACTTGAATCGTGGGCAGGACAATGTGTCCGCGATATTTAGGGGTGGTCCGTCGAAAGCCATTCGACGCGGTATCCTTCGACTGGACTCTCGCGCTCGACGGAGACCGGCGAGCGAGCGAGCGAGAGTGAGTGAGAGAGAGAGAGAGAGGGACATAGAAAACCCGCCAATGAGGCGACGGTGCCGTTAATTAACGAACTCGAAAAGTAACGTACTGAAAGTACAACTCGACGGAGCATTGAGGGGTTCCGGGGACTGGTCGAGGAGGAAGGGAATGAACGAGCCGGGCGTAGGACGGAAGCGCGCGCGTATAAAGGGTCGGTGTCTGGCCAGACGGGCAGAAATGAAGCAGCAAGGGTTTTGTTTGTCCGGCTGTCCACCCCTTTCCTTCCCCCGGTTCACCCCCGCGGGCTGGAGCCCTCGCTGTATGAACCTCGCGGCCCCCTTCAACCCCTGCCTCCGCCACCGCCTCGAACTCCGTCCTTCGGCACCCCTGCCCCTCCCTCCCCCTCCCTCCTTCGCCGCTCTTCAACCTCCTATCCGCTGCCACCCCTCGCTCTCCCGCCCTGTTACACCCTTCTTACACCATGAACCTTCGCCAACCCCCTGTTGCCGCGTAACAATGCACGTGTGTACACTGTTTGCCCACATCCTCCCGCATATATCTTCGCGGGGCTATAATATTGATTACTTCGAGCGAATTTCTGTCTGAAACGCGAGCCCCGTCCGGCGTTCCTCCGACACCCGTCTTGTCCTCCCGCGCGGTCCCCGACTCGAAATGTACTCGCGGTTTCGCGACGCTCTTTCCGGCCGCTGAAACAATGCCGCCTCGCGATCTCCTGTTTTCGAGGCGCGTTCTTCGCCGGTTTCGTCTTCTAAAGTCTTTCTAGCTTTCGGTTTCCAGGAATACATTGGTAACAGAAGCATTTCGGGCATTCGATTATATTGTTGGAGATGCTGCGGTCTGAGAATACAGTAAATTCTCCCGAATTTTTCTCAGCTAGAGAACAGAAATGGACGATTTGGGAAGAGGAGGTACGATCATTCGAGAACCTTGCACCTCGTTTTTGTAATCATTGGGAATCGGACACTATAAAAATGAGTTGAAGGCAAATTGGAGAGAATTTACTTTATTTATAAATCGCGAGATTCTTTGAACAGGGCAGAGTATACAACTCTTGAAATTTTGGCAGGACGCGGAAGGGAAGACGTTTAGGAATCTCGCAGAAAGAATTTCCTAGAGGCTGCTAATCGTGCAGCTAGATTAATTATAGACGATTAGGACGAATCGACGTTTACGAGAAGAGAAATTCTCTCTGAGAGTGTGCCAGATGCAACGTCCATCCTCCAGATAAAAATTGAAACGACGATGCATGGAGGAACTTCATTTTAGAGGATTCATCGACGATCTTTGCGCGATCTGCAGCATATCGCGCGACTAATCATACACAAACGATTCGAAATAATCGAAAGGAATCGAGCATGCCCGAGTCGAAAGGTTATCCGAACGGTAAAGAGCACCAGACGCAACGACCACCGCCAGATGGAAATCGAAGCTGCGTTCATCGAGGAAACGTTTACATTGAAACGGATCGGATATGTACGGGCTAAGAGATTCTCGGAGTATTAAAGAGAACCAGATGCAACATCCTGGCACCGGAAAGGAGGGAGGCCGCGACGTAGGAACTGTATTTTAGCGGACGAATCGCGAGGTTCGCGAACGTCCGCGATGTTTCTGGTTCGGGAAAAAGCAGCGGGAAACGGGCGCGGTCAGGCGCGATTTTAAACGACGTTGCGTCTACTTTGTGCTTAACGCCCGGCTTCAATTCTGCGGGCAAATTGGACGAAAGTTTATTGTTTCTGCGGGTACCGGCGGCGGTACATTTTCCGCGCAGCCAATTCTCGTCCAAGTCATCCTCGGCTAAAAAGTCCCGGCTAATAATTGGCAAATGAAAAATGCAACAATGCCGAGGCGGCTGTAACCCGCGTCGGCAATATCCAGCTAAAAGACTCGTCATTCCGCTCGAGTAAACGGCCACACGACTTAAATTGCGTCACGGCTTTCCGAGCCATCCCGCCAACGTTTAATTCCATTCGCGATCCCTCTTCCCTCTCTGTTCCTCGCTCTCCTTCTCTTCCTCTCTTTCTCTCTCTTTCCCGCTCTTTCTTTCTCTCTCGCGGTCCGGACTATCGCGCTCTGCTCCTCTCTTCTCTCGTTCGTTCCTCACCGATTCGCATCGCCGCCGAGCCCCGTGTGTCGCGAATCGAAGTACAAAGAAGCAATAGTAGAAATAAGATAATTGCTATTACAATCGCAATTTCATCCCGGACGATGAGACTGCGGCGGGGGGAGAAGCGAGTAGGACAGGGGGTGGTGGAGAGGGCCAGGCTCCAGAAGAACTTGAGGGGGAGGTTTCGCGTTGCCAACTGCCACGAAGAGCGAAAGAGAGAGAGAAAGAGAGATCGAGAAAGAGAGGGTTGAACTACAAAGTACGTTAATGTCCCGGCCTCTCGCAACACCCCCACGCACCCTCGGCGCCGCAGACAGTTTGTTGTCGAAGCTTCGGGGATTACACAAATGAGGTTGTTCAGCGAGAGAAAATGTACATTCCGCTACAAAGCCGCTCGCCACGCGTGGAATTAAAGGAGGGGAAGGGTAGAGCAACAGCAGCCAGCTGCTCGGCAAGGTGAAAAAGTTCCGCTATCGCTCGCATCGCCGACAATATTTTCTTTGCTGAAAGCCCGCGCCCGGAGAATGGATTTCCATCGAGCCGCGCGCTTAAACCCCTTCAAGAACGGAGCTTCCCGCTTTTATCGGGAGCCACCCTCTTCCGTCAATATTGCTCTGTACATGTTTTTACACGCACCTTTGCGGCAAATCATCGGACCGCTCTCTTGACCCGGCCGGGTTAATCAGCTCCCGGATAAACTATTCGAAACGATCGGCGCCGTCGGAAAATACGAAAGTATTTTTTTCGCCGTTTAATTTGCGGTCGAAATACAGCCTATTCTTCCTAATTTTCTTCTCTATACAAAAATGGACGATCTGGGAGGAGAAGGTATAATTGTTCGATTCTTGCGGCTCATTTTTATAGTTGCCGATTGTGAACGATCATAAAGACGAGATGCGAGGCTCCAATAATCGTGTCTCCTCTTCCCAAATTGTCTATTTTTGTTCATAAGCTGATTGAAAAAATAGGGAGGATTTACTGTACACTGTAAAAGACGATTGTCGGATCAGAAAAATTATAATTCAATACCACTAATTACCGCGCAAAATTTAGATGATGTGTACAAGATTATTCACGTCTTAATCGTTCCAGTTATATATCACGCAGCAATTAATATTTATCATAACATACTAAACAAAGTGAACGTCAGTAGGATTTTTAGAACGCGAAATAGCATTAAATTAGTTAGAAAATTAGGAATAGTTAATCGATCATCTAAATTAATAAATCTAAATCAAATTAGAAATACTAGTATTTCTTCCGGTAAATTTTCCTTTTCTCGCTTTAGCCTCATTAATTAGACGACTCTGATATTGCAGGTATTTTTCAATGTCTTCGAATGTCCTCGATTATCACACAATATCTTCCATGTACCCATAAACGCACAAAATCCGCAGTCTAACGATTAGACCGCGTATCCCAGCGAAATTGAAATCTGAAACTAGAAGCACAAACGCGTTTCATAAACGCGTCGAATCCGCACTTCGTCCGCGATATCTAATTGCGAACGATGTTGAATTTCGCGGACGCGCAGGTTTTAAACAAATTTTATAGTACGGCTCGTTCAGCTCGAATCGGTCGAATCGAACGCGATTATCCAAACTTCCGTGACTTTTCCATCGGCGTACGATCGATGGGACACAGCAGGGAGCTCTGTCCCATAGTTGGAGCGAGCCGCGTAATTCATCCTAAATGCGATCGACGGTTTCAGTGTAATTCTACAAAGGCCGTATACGCGGCTAAAAATTCAGGGACCATCGTGGTTAATCGAAGCTGTGGGGCCACTCGAAGCGGCTGCCGGAGCAGCTCCAGTCCGGCGATGGTCCTCAAATAAGCTCGCGATCGTCGTTTACTCTTTTCGGAAGTTCGCGGCAATACCGCCGCGTATGAAATATGGAATTGCGACTAGGTGGCGCCGATTAATTAGGCCGTAGGTAGTTGATAGTTGAAGGGGGTGAAGTAGTCGAGCCAAAGAGAGCGAGAGCGAGAGAGAGAGAGAGTGAGAGAGAGGAAGAGAGAGAGATGAAGCGAGCAAGCACGAGGCAGCCAGCCCTTGCGCTAAGCATACCGTGGGGGCTAGGGATAGTAATTGTATACGTACTAAGAGAATGGCAAGGTAAACAAAACTATGTAAGATTGCCCCATTAATATACATATCTCTTGGTTCAGTTGGGCCGTGAGAGAGCGGACCGACCCTCTCGCCGTGCTCCCAGCGTTGTGCCTCGCAGAAAGGGGGTGAGTAGTCTTGGCCTTAGACTCTCTGGGGTTAGGCTCGTTCGAGAGCAAGGAGGGTACACAATGGATATTGAGACCATAATTTACGGCTGATTGTTAGCCCCGCGATCTATGGATTCCTCCGTCCTGCCTCCCCGCCTTCGACCAGCTTCTAACTACGCCAGCCAGCCGCCCGCCCCCTTTCCCGCCCGTTTACCACCCATCTAGCCCGTGTCGAATTTGTGT